GTTAATAAGATAAAGATGTAAAATGAAAAAGTGAGAAGATATAACATAAATTAAATAAATATATAAGAGTATAAAGTGTAGAGAAAGTTTACTTTACAAACCACGTTATTTGTACAAACAGTACAAATCTCATTCAATCAATCATAATTTTTCATTTTGTTCATTTTTTATAACTATGAGAGGTTGATTAATCATTTTTATTATGGATGATGTTAATCATGGATATTATCATCTTCATTGTATTAATTTTAGAGAAATACATGAAACAGTTTCATTAAAATTTCATAACCATATATGAAATAACTTATCAAAAAAAAGTATTATATGAAACAATTTCATAATATTAAACAATTTAATGAAATTTTTTCAAAAGATTAAACAATGAAATCAACGGATGAGGGTAGTTTGCACGGTTTGTACAAATGTGTGTGGTTTGCATTTGATTGCTACTCATAAAGTATAAGTACTAAAAATATTTTCCGTACTATATATGATATATAATAATATGATTAAATAAAAAATATACAATATTGGACTCATTTTGAAAGTATTGATGACGCAATTGTAATGGTGTAATTTGTTAAAACAAAAATGTATTTTAATTAATATATGATTATATATGTTAAAATGAAAATGGTATAAAATGAAAAATATAAAAAGTAGGGAATATAAAGTAATTTAACTAAATAGTTATAAGGGTTTAAATTGAAAAATTGAAAATCTAAAATCATCAATTTAACCGTGTTGAATTGTGGAATAGTGTAGAGACCCGGGACCAGTCCAACAGTGTTTAAACGGTTATGATTTTTAGAAAATTTCATGGCTTTACCTGGCTCATAACCGGGAATTGGACTGTTTTTTAAAAAAAAGTTAATTTTTATAAATTATACATCAAGTTTTATAGCACTTATACAAGATTTTCAATTTTTTTTTTTTTACTTTTTCAAGTTTTTGTAAGTGTTTTAATACCGAATCTCAAAAACTGTAACTATAAAAACATCTATAACATTTTTATATAATGAATATTTAAAATACTATTTTTAAAATACATTTAAATGAACCTATTAGGGATTTTAAAATATATTTTAATAAGATATTGCCCAAAAAAAACTAAATCTTCAAACAATAATTTTTTACAATTAAAATTGATTTTTGGGAGAAGAAATATTTTTGACCTATTTGGGCCTGGTCCCAGGACCGGTTATGAAAAGGCAAATTGAGACTAGGATCGATTCCAGCCCGGTTCGATACGGTTCGAGACCGATTTCTAAACTAGTACTGGTAACCATTTTGCATCAAACCAAACTAGTCAATATGTGTACCAATTATATTCGGTTGGTAGTATCATACAAAGTCTGCAAACTCGATTGGTACACGGTATTGAAAGTCGCATACACGGTAGTATTGTGATACCAACTTATTTAATTACATATTGATTTAATTAATTAATTATATAAAATATTTCTTGATTTTTAAGTTTTGTATTACCGACTTTTTGTTTTCGTATGTGAATGTTTGCAAATTTTATTTATTGCAATTGAAAACCCTTAAACATAATATGTGCTACTTGCAAACCCATCACTCAAAACTTAAACAAAATGACAATTTTTCATATATGTTATTTAAAGTTGTTTCGGAATCAGTACCAACAGAAAAAAGTTGGTACAAATTAAGTAGGTGTCAAATACAGTTGGTTGATATATGATATAAAATTTTACATACTAATTATAATTGGTTAATACATGATATTGAGAAGAAAAAAACATGGTACAATACCAAATACACCCTTACATAAAAGTATTTTGTGATATAAAACCCCCAAATTATAATGTAATCAAACTAAAATGTTAAACTAGTAGCTCAAAATTATTAAAAATATCATCTAAATAAAAGAAAATATAATAAACATTAGTTTTTATATTTAAAGTTGTCCGGCCCTGGCCCGACTGAAAAAGCCCGATCCGGGCCAATTCTCATAGTTGAATCAGGCCGTAATTTTAGGGGCAAAACTGGTCCGAAAAAGCAGGACTTGTAAAAGCCCGATTAAACCAGAAGGAAAAAAAAATTAAGACCTCGACTTGAAAGGGTCTGATCGGAACTCTTTTTCAACTTCAAAACCCGAACCTTGAATGAAAATGGGCTTGGAAGACCCGGTCCAGGCCCAGGTCCTTGGGCCTTCAACATCTCTAATGTAAACATAAAATGGTTTAAGAGACTGAAAAGACTATAAACAAGAAGCTTTGCATTTATCAAACATAACTTCTGTGAGTAAATTCATTCAAAAATTTGACGTCAACCATATTTGATAACAAATTATTTACTCGTTTTTGCGAAAATATCGCGGATGATGATCTTATGAACTCCTTCGATCGCCTTTCTGCCGCTTTTCTTCTAGCCCGGCAGCCTCATTCAACATATCGAGGGCATCTTGATGCATGTCCAGCTTGGCAAGAGCCACCGATTGCATGTAGAAGGCGGTGGGCCAATCTGCGTACACTATCTGCGCTTGCATGGCGTCTCGAAGGGCGGCATCTGGTTGATCACAGAGCAAATAGCATAGGCTTCGCCTTGCTAAAACGGTTGGCGAGATCATTGTTCCCACGTCTATGAACTGCGTATGAAAAATGCCCGAAAATGAAGAATAATTGGAAGTAAAACGCGAATATGATGGAATAATGCATTTTAACCGCAACTAGCAGTGCATTTGAGCTTATTAGAGTCCCACATCGGTCAGACTATGCTATGTTTGGCAAATTGGTTGTTGGCTGAAAAACCATCTCTTGTTGGCTGATAGCTGTCTGTGTGGTTTAATACGTCTGTATAGATTGGGAAGTTTTTTTCATAGATGGAAGAAACATTTGAGCCTATTCATCAAGTTTTTAGCCCATATGACATCGGTTGATTTTGATGCAATCCTAATAGAGTCTTTGTTCAACTTGTTTTGGGCTCGAATAGAGAAATAAAGTTAAGATAAACCTTTTTTTTAATTACAAAAGTACGAAAGGCCGACCTGTGAATAGAAGTCAATGGCAGCTTTGAAGTCCTTATCGCGGAACGCTTGGTCTCCACGTTTCCTAGCTTCCAACATATCTCTCATCTGCTGAGTCCATTCTTGAAACGACAACTGAAAAACCAAACATTTCCACCATTGGAATTCGTTAGAAATGATTTCGATTCGGTGTACTACGAAGATAGCACAAGGTCACTGTTTGTCTCCTTAGGGCCCGTGGGATTTTACTGGCCGCTATCTTTAAGGCCCCATGGGATAAGTCGAGTTGGCCCCAACGTCCACAGATACCAAAAAAAGCACAAGGTACAAGTTAAATTTACCTCATTGGTTCCGGTTCCTTCATCATCACGATAATGAGTCATAACCAAGATTTGATGAATTGCCGTAAGATCTTTCCGTGAACACGCCTCTCCCAATGACGAAAGAGGCCGTTGTGGAGTTGCCGGAGCTTCGTCTAGTTTCGAAATCCCAAGCATTACGTAAGACGGAACCTAAAAAATCCATATTCGTGATAATATTTCCAAAAAAACGAGTGCAAATATAATATCTAGGTTTCTTGAGAATGAAATTCTTACGTCACATTTTGTTTGAAGAGGAGCAAGTGTGGCAACGAGGTCTTTAATACTTGGTCTATCTTTCGGTTCGTATTGCAAGCATTTGGAGGCAAGTTCGACAACTGTAGTTGCTTCATCGGTCGAAAAGTTTCCTTCTAAATGCGAATCCATTAAAAGAATGATATTTTTGCCACGAATCATATCGAGCGCCTACAGTAATATATACTAGTTAGAATGTATCTCAAATAAGAAACAGGCCGGCCACAGAACAAACAAATCGGAAAACATCATGGAAGGATACGACTAAATTCTGTGAATCCGATCTCGATATGCACCAAATGAGATAAAACGAAAATGTGGAATATGAAACGGCCTATATGAACAGAAACGACTTACATGACTTGGAGGGATGTGTTTACCACTTAGAAGATCTAAAAGGACCGTACCGAAGCTGTACACAACACTTTCCGGGGTGACTCTTCCTGCAATAGAAAGAACATATCGATCCTTTTAACAAAAAACGAAGAAAACAAAGGCAAGGTCTGTGTACATCCTAACTCTAGATCCTACATCTGTATGGGAGATACTGGGTTCGTTTGGTTTTAGAAAGAAAATACTATGAATAAAATACTCCCTTTCTCCCAAAACAGACTTTCAGAATGAAAAAGGCAGACAGTTTTGGAAGCTTGTAATTATTACACTTTTTAATCGGCTAAATGACAATTTTACCCTTCATAACAGACGGAGTAATGAAGTTCTACATCTCATGATTTAGGGTAAATTTGGAAAGTAGATAAGATACTTACCTCTAAAAGTGAATATTTAGTTTTCTGACAAACTAAAACAGAAATGTGGACGTTAATTATGGAACAGACGGAGTAACTGATTACCATGTTTGAGATATTCCGGAGGTGTGTATGCAAGATTTGTGCTGTAACTTTTTCCGTCCCTACTGTTTCTCATAAACCCGAAACACGAAAGTCGGGGATCTCCATCCTACAAAATCCACCAAACCTTTAGGTTATTAGCTTCGTACCATAGCATTTAAACTAAACGTAACGATAATGGTACAGGAATAAATAGTTTTTAATGATGCACCTCATCAAAGAGAACCCTATATGCATTGAGATCGTGGTACAATTGGCGACCTTCGGCACTACAATAGTTTAAGGCGTCGGATATGTATTGAGCAACCCTTATTCGCATAGCCCACTCGATTGTTTGATTTTCCCCTACAACATATTCAAGATAAATGGCATATAACACATATATGAATGAAAGTAGAATACGCATGCACAAAGCAAGATAGATACACTACAACAAAATTGATTTCATAGGATGCCTAAAATGTAGAAGCGTCCTAAAAGAATAGTTTATAGAACCAAACCAAAAACGTACTATCTGAAAGTGTTACAATAGGTTTATAGGATGTTTTAAGGTTTTTTAAAAAGTTTTTTAGGACGCTTTTATATAAAAACATAGGTTTATAGGACATTTCTCAAAGGTGTCCTATAAAATAGTTAATAAGACACTTTATTTTAAAAGCACCATAAAGAACTTGTTAAAACACTTAAAATCTTCCTATTGACCTAATGCAACACTTTTATATAAGACGTTTTATAGTTTGGTCTTGTAAACCAAAGTTCTATAAAGTATTCTATTAGAATGCTTAAACAATCTAGGTGTCCTATTAAGCCAAGTTTGTTGTAGTGATAGGAGCCCGAATTTGGAACCAAACAAATCGAACAAACCCAGTATATCCCACTTCTTGGGGGTGAGAGACTGATTTGGAACCAAACTAAAACCAAGGGAACCAAGTATATCCCACCTGAAAATGGGGTCTAGGGGTATAGGATCCCGATTTGGAATCAAAGGAACACGGTATATTATAACCAGAGGTGGGGTCTAGGGTAGGAGCCCGCTTTAGAATCAAAAGAAGGTGGGGGCTCTAGGGGGCTAGGAGCCCGATTTGGAAGGTTCCACCAAAATTCTAAGATATATATAGTAAGAATCCTAGCAATGCAAGCGGACGTGTTTAACTTTAGAATCATACGTACAGTGAAATAAATGTTTAGCAAGAGTGTCGTTTGGCATATACTCGGCAACGAGCAACCTCTCTTCGCCGTCACAACAATATCCAATCAAATTAGCGAGCCTCTTATGACGCAATTTCCCAACACCCCATGCTTCCTCCTACAAATTGAATAACCGAGCATCAATTCTTTACGTTAAAAAAAATAAATGAAGAAACAAACTTTATCATTTTCAATAAGGATCATTTCTATGATGCGTGATACGTGGATGCCAGGATTCAGATATTCTAAAAAGTCGAGGATACGGGTGTGTTTATATACATATGCATGTATGTATGTATGTATATGAATTTAAAACCAAACTAGAAAAAGTTATTTCATGATTCATACATGAAATATGTAAACATAAATACATGCTAAAACCTAGTATTACAAGATTTTGCTTATACTAAATGTCTCTATATGAATCTAATCCATCAAAAAGATAACTTGTATTGTTCTAGTTTTTTCTCACTCATAATCATAAAACTCAATTTGTTAATTTAGTGGGTTAGCTCAACTGATAATAAGCTTTGGACCTATGGCGATCCTCTTCAGAGGCCACCGGTTCGAGTTCTGCAAGGCCACGAGGCTACTAGAGATTTTTCTAACTGTTCTCCAAAGGCCTGGATTAGTCGAGGTGCATGTAAAGCTGACGGGCCACCGATGATTGACAAAAGAAAAAACTCAAAGTTTGTTTTATGAAGTTAATCTTTTATTTTTTATCTTGCAATATATAGATTCTTTTAACATTTCAAGACTAAGGAGTAAGGAGTGCGGACATTGGCGGAACCAGGAATTTTATAGACCTGGTCCCGTGAAAAATTAAAATTCTATTGGTGAGTGAAGGTAAGTTCTGAATTTTTACCTAGGTAATTTTTTTTAAACTTTTTACTGGGTCCCTTCGCCCTCCCTATTAGCTGTATCTGTCTTTCCTGCAGATAATTTACTACAAGCATGCTCCAAAACTCAAAAATAAACAAGAGAAGAGACCACCATTCCACTTCCACCAACACAATCCTAAAAAACAAATGGAATTTCAAATGCAAATATGATATGATTCTTGGTAGAAATTTAAGACGATTGTTTGTGGGTTTTGCAGTACGTGTAAAAGTTGGAATTAATTAATGATCGATAATTGAAACTTTTTGGTATTGATTGCAATTTTGTGAAGCTAAACTTATTCCATTTGACTTTTGGGAAATGATTACTAAAAACAAATAAACAATCACAATGATCATTTCTACGACTTAATTAACAATCACTAATTTCAAGAAATATCCAGGAGTTTAATTTTTGAAAGCATAAATAAACAAATTGTTTTTAAATTAAATAAAAAAAACTATAATTCAATGGTGAAATTAATCAAAGAAATACCGCAAATTGTTTCGGGTCGGGCCACGATAATTTGGAGAATTTCTTCACGGCAATCCACCGGCGGTTCTTGAGTCTTCCTTTATACACAAGATTTGGTGCCTTTTCACCACTTTCAGACACGATTAAATCTGTACTGAAATTATTAGTAGCCGTTTTCAGGTCGGCAAAAGAGAACTCGGAGAACGGAGGAGGAGTAGCACCAACACCACCAGCTCCGGTGGTGGTTTGTTGGCCGGAAAACTTTTGTGGGTTGTTGGTGGACGGTGGGTTTTGATGATTATAGCTAAAAAGATTGGTTTTTTGATGGTTTTTGAACTGATTCCTTTCTGGGTTTGTTCTTGATTTCGGAGCTGATGCACAAAGACCCATGATTTGATTCAATTTCTTTCAAGAAATGGAAAAAAATGAAAAGAAAGAAATAACCAAATTTTTAGAGAGAGAAAGTAGAGAGAGAGAGAGAGAGAGAGAGAATATATGTGTTCTTGGGTTCTAATTTCTATCGCTTCTTTTTTTGTTGTCTTTCATGTACAGAATGAGATAAAAAGGGTTACAGTTGTTTGATGCTTTACAATATAAATTCAATTCAACTTTCTTTGTCTTTTAGACCATCATGTTTGGTGGGTATTTATGTATGTATTTTTATTACTTTTATATTCTATATTACGTTTAGATTGTGCCTGGATTTTGTAATTTAGTTGGTAAAAAGATGAGATGACTTTAAATACAAGACAGGTCCTGAATAGCTAGGTTCAATCTCAGGCTCTTCATTAGTCGTAGCCGTTGAATGAGCCAAAAAATATCTTCTTACATTGGCGTTTTTGGAGGCAAGCTCGTCTGAGGCCGGATGGAATTGCATATTTGCAGGTAGGAGTGTAAATGATACTAATCGAACTCGAGTATTGATATACTTGACTCGAACTCGATAATCATTTCTCAATCTCGAACTTGACTTGAAAACTCACATGTAGTTAAAAAGTAAACTCGAACTCGAGTAAAAAAAATTAAACTCGAAACTCAAACGAAGCTCGGACTTACACTCGAATCAAGCTCAAACTTGATATTGAATCAAACTCAAACCAAATTCACCGGGTGAAATTTAGGAAGTTTTAAGGTATTCTCTTAGAAAATATAAAATTTAAGGGTGTTCTTTAAAATTGATAAACTAAGGGGCCGTTTACCAAACGTTTATCCGGGTAAGTGCTTACTGAGTTACATTACCTACCGGATGAATATGACAAAGACGAAGAATCTTACCTGGTAAGAGCAAACGCAAAAACCGAGAGTCTTACCCAGTAACTGAGGACGATAACTCTTACCACGGTTAACGCTTACTGGGTAAATTGTTGCATACAATGTCGTTTTGTTGGACTAAAATCTTACTCGATAAGTAAGTAAAAATATTGAATTTTATCAGTAAATGCTTACCGAATTACCGTATAAATGTTTGGGTAAACGACGCCTAAATGGATGCATCAAAGACTTTGTCATTAATAAGACAAAGCTATAAATTTTTATTCACTCCCCCCCCCCCCCTCTCTCTCTCTCTCTCACAACTATTTACCCTTCCTTTAATATCTTTTTTCTATTTTCACCAACATTTTTATAGTTTTTTTTGTCTTTTCTAATTATGATTTTAATGAAAAAAATAATCACAAAGTTTTTATGATAAAAAAAAGCTTATTTTTGTTCAAATATCTAAAAATATTAGACATTTTTGTTATATTATATTTTACAAATTATATTATAAAACTGATAATATTTTAAAACTAATTATATATAAAATATCGAGTATTTCATGAGATTTTCGAGTCGAGTATTGGGTAGCTCGAGCTCGACTTGTTGACTTGACTCGTTAATATGTCGAGTCGAGCTCGAGCTTGAGGCCGAACCTATTCGAGTTGAGTGTTGACCGAGCTTTGATCTAGTCGATCTCGAGTAGCTCGCGAGTTGTCATATATCGTTTACACCCCTATTTGCAGGCAATCAACTTTTTTACCCAAATATAATATTTATTATATTTATAAATCAAACTTTTATTATACTTTTACAGTGTTAGATGTCCCGTTCTCAAAATAAGTATTTATATTTTATCTAAAATATGTATTCATTTTCAAAAATTAATGTTTACTTTATGGTTCTACCCTTAATTTTGAAATGAGAAATTTGTTACTCATACTATTGCATAAAACTGTGATTTAATCAATTAAAAAATATAATAATTACACATATTTAAAATTGTGTACTTTTTATTGTGGATATTTTGGGACGAATGAATATCAACTTCTGTATGAATTGTAACTAAAAGTACGAGTGAATACTAATTGTAATGATTTTGGTAAAATGGTATGTTACTTGCATTTCTCAAGCCAACTCAAAACATCTTGTCTGAAAAGTATCATATAAAAAACAAATCAGGTGGTTAACATTTCATTAGATGCCAACAAGGAACCCATTCCTTTAGGGTGCGTTTGGTACGTTGGACAGGGTGGGACATGACAGGACAGAACACAATTGTCCTATGTTTGGTGTGGTTTTATGTGGGACTAACTAGAACAAACTAGAACAAGGGTGGGACAAGGTTGTCCACCCTTTACCCATGGAACTAAGTAGAACAAGAAACTTTTTACCACTTTACCCTCAAAAACCTCATACGCATACCTTCCTTCTTCCCCTTCACTCTCCTCTCCTCCATCGCTTCCACCGCTCAACCGGCGTTCGGTGACGGCGACTTCCGATGGCCGCCGCTTCTCCGATGGCCGCCGCCGCCGCTTCTCCGATGGCCGCTGCTGCTTCTTACAGCAACTACATCACGAATTTGAAGGAACTCTTCAAATATYTTTCTTCTTATTTCATGCAAGTAAGGAATTATATTTTGATGGTGGTTTCGTACTCGATTTCGCCAACAACTTGATTAATTGAAGTACTTATTAGGGATTTTAATGAAGTATTATGATTTATTTCGAGAGTTTACATTGATTATGATTGCTGAATGTTGTTGTTGTTGTTGATGAATTATTAGGGCTGTAGTGGTAGTAGGACCAGTGTTACTAGAATGCATTTCGTAGTGAAAAAACACTAAACAGCTACTGGGGGTAAATTGGTCATTTTAACCAGTTCTATCCTGTCCTGTCCTGTCTTACCAAACGCTGAACAGCTGTCCTGTCCTGTCCTGTCCCGTCCTGTCCTGTCTTGTCCTGTCCAGTCCTGTCTGCGCTCCAAACGCACCCTTAAGGAATTGTACTAACTCTTTACATTGTTGTTGCCACACATAAGTCATCATCTAGTTGTATTGATTTTCGTTCGTATGTTTTGTTTCTATCTTATCCATTTATGTATACTTCATATATACATTTAAAAGATACTAAAAGGGTAATCGCGTAATGCAGCGAGATATATTTTGATTTTAATATTTTATTTATTTTTTTATCTCAATCGATGTTATAATATGGTTTTATGTGATTTTGAAAATGCGATGATGTTTTTTATTTTTAAATAAATATAAATTTGAAGATATCATAAAAATTTGACAAAATAACTATTTAAAATTCTTCATTTTTTGTTTTTTAATTCAATTTTTTTAATATAATTTAACTTAAGTTCAATAACAAAGTATTTTATATTTGGTTTAGTAATATAATTTTCTTATAAAGATATTAGTTAATTATTTTGTTAAAACTCGATAATTATCCTAACTATATTTTAGATTTTTTATATTTTAAAATGAGATGTTTATCCTTTATCTGATTATGTTTATCCGCAGTTAGTTACACAAATTCAAACATGAAGCTTTAATAAGTTGTAATTATGCATAATTTATTTGTAATCTTGAACTTTAAGTAATATGTATCAATATACAATACTTCATACATAAAAAATATTTTTTAAGAATTTTTATCAAATGTTTTATAATATAGTATAGATATACATAATATATTTCGTGTATAGTCAAGAATATATAAGTTTAGTTGGAAGTTACACTTTCACAACACATTTATACAATACCGTCATTTACTCATTTACGTAACTCCGAACAATTAATTGTATTTGTATTTACGTATGACCATACAACTTACGAATTTGACATGTCACATGGGTTTGAATTTTGAAATAATATCATGTGAATGATACTATTCAAGTATTGGTGTACGAATACATAAAACACCAACGAAGATAACAAATCACTATATAATATAGTTGCTATATTTCTTTAAAACATGCCTATCTTTGATTAGAGATGGCCAAATCGGTCCGGTCCGGGACCGCCGGAGGACCGGGCTCGGGACTGAGACCAGGACTGGTTATGGGACCGAAAACCGGGGCCGGTTGAGATTTTTGATAGTTTCGTGGGACCGGGACCGACCGGGACCGACTATGGACCGGCCCGGCTCGACCCGAAAATTCAAATAATTTTATAAATAAATGTATTTTTAAATAATTTTATAATGTATTTTTATAAGAAAACGTAATTTTAATTATATTAAAACACATTTTTAAAGTGTATTTAAGTGACCTAATTGTAAATTTTATAATGTACTAAATATATATATATATATATCATTAAAAAAATCAAAAAAAAATCTTATTTTTTTAATGCAAGGACCAGTTGGGACCGGGACCGACAGCCCATAACCGGTTATGAAGTACCTTGACCGGTCCTATCATTATCGGTTGAGACTAGGACCGAGACCGGGACCGGTTACGCCGGGACCGGTTATGGCCGGTTATGAGAAAGATGAGGACCGATTGGGACCGGCCCGGGACCGGTTTTTGGCCATCTCTATCTGTGATGGAGGATCAACTATCAAATTTATGGGTGATTAAGAAATGGTCGAAACTTCTAAGTAGTCGGATGTATTGGATCAATTCCCTTATCAAAAGTGATTCATGGGTGGATTTGAGATTAAAGATAATTAAGAGTCTAAATCTCTTCTTACACTTCTCACGTTAATTCTACTTCTCATACAATCTTTTGTTTATTTGTATTATATTATAAAACATTTGACAAAAACTTTTAAAACCTATTTTTATGCATGATTTACTGTTTATTGATGCATATTACTTAAAATTCAAGATTATAAATAAATTGTGCATAAGTATGACTTATTAGATTTCCATGTTTAAATTTATGTAACTAATTGCAAATAAACTTCTTATTTTAAATATAAAAAATTATAACATAATACATAATTATTCTCTCTCTTTTTCTTTCTCTTCTCCCCACTCTTCCCTTCCTCTCTTTCCCCTCAGAGAGTCTTGATTTTTTTGGTGGATATGGTTCGCTCTCACCCGAGCGCGTTTTTGACTTGCTTTTAGTGTTTTTTCTTGATCTGAAGGGGTCTCCCCTCTCCCTATCAAAAAAATTATTATATTTATAAAAAAAATTATATTATTAAACCCAAAATAAATTATTTTGTTATTAAATCTAAATTAATTTATAATAAATAATAAATTAAAAAAAACTTTTATATTTTTTTTCAAATTCTTATGATATCTTCAAATTTATATTTTTTTTTCAGAAATAAAAACGTTATCTATTTCTCAAAACCATATAAAACTATATTATAACATCGATAAATACAAAAAATAAAATAAAACATTAAAATCGAAATACATCTCGTTATATTGTTCGAGTGTGTGTATATATATGTATATGTATGAGTGTGTTATGTATTGAATTATGAGTGATAAGCATGATGCAATGTAGAAAAGGATGAAGGTATGGTACAAGGATATGATAGAGGGGGGGGGGGGGGGGGGGTAGCTTTTTTGATATGGTGGAATTTAAGTGAAGGCTCATCATCACCTTTGACCATTTTCCCCTTTGGGTTTTGTCATACATTTATGACTACACTCTTTTTTTACCTTTCCCTATTTATAAGCAAAGCCTTTGGCACCTCAAAAGATGTGTTCATCATTTTTATTTTATTTCAAAATTAAACACGTATTATTTACTAAATTTTTTATTCCAAAATCACTCACATTATTTATATGTTAATAAGATAAATATTTGATTGTAGTTACAAACAAAAATAGATATTTATTTTAGTACCAAAAAGAATCATGTCTTTGAAATTTTCAAATATAGGATTATTAGATGTTATAAACACCTTTTGGTTAATGTTTAATTTTTTATAGCATATAACACTTGTAATTACACAAATCGATTAAATATTTAAATAGGTTTATATACAGGGTGTTTTAAATACAACTCGTATTATTTGTACAACTCATACAACTTAATCTAAACTGTGTATCTACACTAACAAATATTTGGTTTTATAAATATTTTGATTCCTTTTTAATATAAAACATTGATCATAATTAATGAATTATAATTATTTTTCATAAATATTTAAATCATAATAAATGAACCCTTATTATTTTCATAATTATTTTAATTGATTGTGTCGTAAGAGTTGTATGAATGAAATGATTTGTATAACAAAACCACCTTTATAAACTATTTAAATAGTTTTATATATACGTAACTTTGATATTTATTATTTAGACTTATATAAGTTTTCTTATTTCTATTATATATAACATATAATATATATTATAATATATTTTGTATAACGTATTAAGTATATTTATAATATACTATATAAAATATAATAAGGGAGTGTTAATGGTACTTCTTAGTAGAGGGTGTTGAATGCTTTGAAATTTTGAATTAATTTGATAACATATTGTTTTTTTATTACGGTTTTATATATACATTGTATGTTTTAAGTTATATTATATAATTATCATTATTATATATATAGTTGGTTATATGCATATATATAATTTTCATTTGTATATTATCATTATTATAACTTACATTATATAATTATTATTATATATATAGTTGGTTATATATATATCTATATAATTTTCATTTATACTATTATATTTTTATTATATATATTAATAGACAACACACACATATATATATAAAATCTTTTATATTATTATTTTAAGTTATATTATATAACTATTTCATACATATATTTTTAAGTATATATATATAATTATCGAACTTTTGCAGCATCTCAACCCAAAAAAATGCTACATGTCACGTTTGTTTGCCTCGTAGATCACATAGGTGGAAAAGCGACTTTTTAGTCATGATTTCCCCAATTTTTAATCTATCTACATAGTTGTGAATAAATATTTTAATAATATATAGGAATCTAATAATACTATTATTATATTAAATTTAATATGTAATTTGGTAATAGAAAAAGGTTGTTTTTTAATAAATATCTATTAAAAAATTACGTTTTTAACGATTGTTATTAAAAAAAAGTAAAATATATATTTTTCTTAAAAATAATTATTAGAAAAAAGTGACATTTTTTAAAGAAAAATATTAAAAGGGAAAAGGAAAATAATTTTTTATAGAAATTATGATAAAAAATAATATTTTTAATATTAAATTTTTTATAGAATAAAAAATAATATTTATAATAGTAATATATTTACAATTAAATAGCATAACTAAAACAAAATTAGTATAAAAAAGAAAAAGATTACAACAAGATAAAAAATAAAGAAAAAAATGATTCCATAAATAATTTTTTTTTTTGATATTATACAGAGAAAGAGAGAGAAAAAAAAAGAGCGAAAGAGAGAGACAGTTTCATTTATAAACCCAACCACCAATATAAATCATATAAATTAATCTTAATTATTAATCTAATTTAATAAATATATATTATTCAATGAAAATCTTGATTATTTATTAATATAAAATATTTACATAATAAGCAAACTTTGATAATTTTCATAAATATTTATATTATATAATAAATAAATGTTATCATTTTTATAAATATATGGATTAATAATCGAATTAAATAATTTATATTAATGATTGAGATAATAAAATAGGTGTAATGTGTATTTATATAAAGAAAGGGATTCATAATCATTGGTAGATTTGATAATTGTAAATTAAAAAGGAAGGGGGTTATGTATTAATTAAATAGATTAGGAGTAAATTACAAAGAATATTCTTTTATAAAATAGACTCTCACCCTATTTCCAAATCTATTTTTTACAATTTAGTCTATTATTCTAGTTGTTCTCTTTTCAGAAAACCGTGAGTTTCCAAGTTAACTTATACGTGTCGACTAATCTTTTGAACCATCGCAAATTATTTAGATGATGTTTGGTTTGTAGTGTTTTTTGTTAAAAGAATTTGACGTTGAAGGAATTAGAATGGAATGTTGTCAGATTTAACCACTTGTTTGGTTGACAGACATTGAAATGAAATCTGTTAAGAAATTGAAATATGTTTGTTTGATTCACAGAACGTAGCTTTTGAATTGTAATGAGATATTGGTAAATGACCAAAATGCCCTTCCTTGTAAATTTTAAATTTTTTAAAACTAAAAATACTTTAATAAAATAATTATTTAATATGTAAAACAATATAAAATACATAACTCAAATATAACCATAAGCCAAACAATATTAGTAAATCAACGATAGTCGGCGATGGTTCAGATCGATGGTAGTCCATGGTGGTTCAAATAGACGATGGTTCATATCGGCGGTGGCGATGGTGGTTCAGATGGTGGTTGTTCAAATTATTGGTGGTCGACGGTGTCCGACGATGATTCAGATCGGTGGTAGTCATCGGTGGTCGGTAGTGGTTCAGATCGGTGGTGGTCCGTGGTGCTTCAAGTGGCGGTGGTCGGATGTGGTTTAGATCAACGGTGGTCGGCTATGATTCAGATCGGTAGTAGTTAGCGGTGGTTCAGATCGATGGTGATCTGTGGTGGTTCAGATGGCGATGACAGTGCTTCGGATTGGTGGTGGTCCATGGTGGTTCAGATGACGGTGATCGATGGTGGTTTAGATCGATGGTGGCTAGTGGTGGTTCAAATGACGGTGATCGGCGGTGGTTCAAATCGGCAGAATACCATGTAGTTGCTAAGGAATGTTAAATTCCTTTATTTGTGGAATTTGTAGGATTTAGAAGATTCCTTTTGTAAAAAAGAATGAACCGAACGAGGAAATGAAATTTGGTCAATGAATTTCAACATTTCAATTCCATCATATTGCTTATTTAGAGTTATCCTCCAACAAGAGTTTTGACGGTGCGTAGAACAAAAAATTGTAGTTTTATTCCACTTAATTTCATGTTTTAACATTTAATATAAAAAAGTGTTTTTATTCTATTGTATTGGATTTCGTCTTTTTTAGTTTAAACTAACTTCTTAATTGGATTTATTTATTTTGATGCTTGAATTAATTTGAATAATAGCCTTTTTGCCAAGCAAATAAATGATAATAATCTATTATGTGCCATGTTTTGAGCAAAACACTTGATTATATTTTATTTTGTTCATGGAGTAGCTTTTAAGGATCATAACCAAACCATTAAGCCGAACCAAACTAGAGGCTATTTGGTTGTTTTTTTCAGTAAGTCACGAATGATAGTCGTAGGCTATATGTATGAAATAAATATGTTTGGATGATAAATATTACCATTTTACCTCTACTGTTTGGTTTGGTTTGGTTTTTTCATTCAACTCTTATGTTCTTTTTGCTCATGTTAAATTCCATTAATCTTAATCCTCAAACATGATATAATAACATAGAGTTAGGCTATGTGATAATCACATTTCTAAACCAAAATCAATTGCTTCATCAATCCCAAAAGAAACCAACCGTTGATGAGCATCAGGAACATGGAGATTGAGAGCGATAGCAAGAAACCAACCGTTGATGAGCATCAGGAACATGGGGAGGGATGAAGATTCGATAGCTTAGCGAATAAGTCATGGACTAAATTGATAAGTCGCTAATAAAGACTTGTGTATGGCTCGGCGCACGCACGTGTACATGTAAAACAAACAGCCTATACTGTTTTTAAAAACAATATCAAACCCTATTTCCAATGAAGTATCTTGGGTGGGTTTATTCAAAAGCAAATGACAAATACCTGTATAAAATATACTGAATTTGAGGTAAATAGAAATAAGCTCTTCGCCATTTGGCCATGTTGATGAATGTGAAATGGTTTCTTTATGCAAAAAAAGAATTAAAAAAAAATATTAATATTTATATACGATTAAATGATTAAAGATTGAGTTACTGAATACCGTCACCGTCACCGTCACCATCTAAGGTTAAACCAAACCAATTGATGCAGGCATATGAAGGAAGGAAGGCCATTTTCCATGTCTTCTAAAACACCAAATCATCTCTATAAACTCCTTTTTCTCTATACTATTACTATCACTAACTACATACACTTACAAAAACTTCCATCTCTTCTCTTTACTACAAATCAACAATCCAGCGTTCTATCGATACTACCCCCCGAGCTTATCATCTTCGATCCGTTGTAATAACTCCTCATAAATTTTCAAAGAATTAGCGGTAAACCGTTCCATGGACTCCAAAACGCGTTTAAGACCAATCTGCACGCTACCATTTTTACTGGTCTCGCTCTGATACACTGCTGGATGACCTAACGACATTCCATTCTCGTCTCCCGACCCCACCACCATCATTTTTTCCAATATCTGCAACTCTTTATGAATCTTCTCATCTTCTCTATCCAAATTCTTTACGTTTCTCTCCAAGTTTTTATCAACCACCATCCTTTCTCGCATTTCCACCTTATCCCGTTCCCATAGCTGAAGAACCGTTCCTGCAAAATCTCGAATCGCATCCACCACTTCCTTATCGGAGATTCTTTGCATCGCTTGAGCCCACTGGTTACAGATTATGAACACGGCCGGTGCACCAATTCGCCCAGGAGAGTATGGGACCGGTCCATCCACAGTTTCTTCTGGCTCGTACATAACGCATTTCACAAGCCACTCGTTTAAGGCTCTCACAAAACCCTTTTGGGCCCCAAACCAGCACGAGAAACGTATGGCCCAGTTGAGCAGTTCGTGTTCGAGTTGCAGCGTGGCTTCCAGACTGCCGTCGGTCAAGTGTTTGTGGGATGCAATGGCATCCATACGTTTAGCGGCACCGATTGCCTCACACTGACTACGGTGGCACTCCACCATCGATCTCCACATCCTTGTTAACCTGCAAGTAATATATCACATATAAGACGTATGAATTCAGGATTGTCTTCACGGAAACAGCCTTTTTACCCTTTAGGGTACCCTTAAGCCACTCTTTGTGGGATTAATGGGCTTTAACATAAGCCAAATATGTCTTAAGGGCCCGTTTGTTAGCAGCTTAATGGAACTCACATCTTATTTGGTCAGCTATATATGACTGTTTGGTGGTGGCTTAAGGATATAGAAAATGGCTTATTCAGTAAGCTTTTAGAAGAGAGCAAGCAGAAAGTCAAGTCTTTTCCAAACCTGCCCCTCAGTTAAAAACATGCTCCTTCCATCTATAAGAAACCCTCCAAACAAAAACTTCCCGATTTATACAGACAGATTAATCCACACAGACAACATTATCCATACAGGACTTCGTGAAAACCCAACCAAGCAGTCCATAAACGTCCTAATAGATTGCTTTATAACACTTAAGTTTATAGGATTAAATAATTGTGTGTCATATGTAAAGGTGTTGGGACGTATTTTGGCATCCTAACACGTTTTTTTAGAACATTTCAGAAATGAAGGGTCGTATTGGTTTTTTATAGCACACTTTTGAGAAGCATCCGGTGAACACATCTTTTTGCAGGACACTTGCTTTTGTAGAACAGTTTTAAAAAAATGTCACATAAAAAGACAAATAAGAAATTTATTTGAAAAGTGACCGAAAAACTTGTTAAGAGGCCCAAATGCATCCCTATCAACTCGTCTATAAACGTCAGTCTTATAACGCAGTCTATTAGAACATTTAGATATGTTCGATGTCTTACAAGGCTTGTTTAGTTGTAGAGATACACAAGGCCCGGACCTTGCAACCCCATTTTTCAGTAAGCAAAAAGAAAGCATGGGCCAGATTGGGCTTTAGCGGGCCTTGAAAAGAATTTGGCCTGATCAGGCTTTATGGTCGGGGCCAGGTTTTTTGGGGCAGGCTTAGGGCTTGTGCTTTTTTGTGGATCTATATTTTGTAGTAATGATATGAAGAAATATACATTTGGAATCAAGAATGATGATGTATTTGCAAGTAGAACAAGGTAACACAAAACTACATAACGAAAGCGAAGCACGTACCCTTCTATGAAGTCGTTTAATAGTGGCCAAAGTTCTTCATCCCTCAAACTGTTTATTTTTTCGGAAATCTTATCGACAACTTGAATTGCAATACGGATTTTGGTAGAAAGACTTCTAACCAAAGTTCTTGTTGCATCAACTTTGTGAGGCTCGGCACCCTTCTCATCCAACCGTCTAAGCCTTCGTTTCTTCTCTTCATGGACTAACCTCATTTTCTCCTCAATCTGTGCCACACATAACAGAACAAAATTTTCCATTATCCAAACCAAACCAAACCAACCCGACCCAGTATCACACTAGAGGTGGGGTCCAGGGTAAGATATAGGCAGACCTAACCTCTACTCAAAAGAATAGAGTGGCTATTTCCATGAAAACCCCCGACTAGTGAAAAGTACGTGAAAGGGAGAAAGACATATATGCTAAATTTTGAGAAAAGATGGCAACATTTCCAAGTATCCAATCGCCTTAAAGATACGATCTATACGTCGAAATAGGCTCCTTTTTTGTCGACATTTATGGCTTACGTAACCCAACACCATGAAGCTTACAAACAAAAATAAATTACGAACAAGTGCTTAAAAGTCAAAATATCAATCTAAGACTTTATCCGTGTTAAAGTACGTTGATATTTAACCACATACCTTAACTTCATCAAACAATTTCTTCTCCCAGAGATACAGTTTATGTAGAGTCGATGAAAGATTCTTGGATTTCGTCAATAAATCTACATCCGTATCTAAGGCAGGATCAGCTGGTGCCAATGCTAAAGGCGTAAAAACGCTCAACATCTTGGACGGAACTATTCAAAGAGATTTACCAACACAAGTCAGCAATATTCGAGCAATCTGAACCCGAAAAGTGGATAAATGGAAAACAAACACACGATTTAAAGAACAACAAATTGTGGAAATGTAACTTTGACCTCCTTAGTGGCTAGACTCCAGCGGTCACTTGGGTACCGCTCGGTCAAATGACCCTTTGGTACTTAACATGGCAACTACCACCTGTTCATCGCAGTGGTCACTAAACCCCCCCCCCCCTTTTTCAAATGAGGCCGGTATATCCCCAGAGGTGGGGTCTACCGGTAACCCTGATACTACCAGTATATATAGTGTCAAGGGAAAACCACAAAAAAATGAAAAACGGAGGAACGCCTTAGTAACCATTCATCTGTATTGTATGCACATGTGCATAGCAACTTCAATTTAATTGTATGCACATGTGGATATCGTATTGATAAATGGTTACCGGTGATGTGTTCTTCAGTTTTTCGTTTTTAGGGGTTTCCGTTGAACCAACCCCTCTCTCTCTCTCTCTCTCTCTCTCTCTCTATATATATATATATATATATATATGTGTGTGTATTTATATATGGCAAAACTCTCTCACAGACACTCGGTCACTAAAGGTGAGGCTTGAACCCTCTCGAGGGAGGTTGGGATCTACCGGTGACCCTAATATTCCTAAGCTAATGACCCTTTGCTAGTTGTATTGTTGTTAATAAATCAACAATTTATGTAAATTACAAGTTATTACATTTGAGATAGAAAAATTGAACCTTGATAGGCCACATGTTTGCGGTTATGTGGAAGTTTCCCGACCTCGAGGATCTTGGATAAGTCGTTGCCGGACTCGGATGCACGATTGAATTGGGTTTGAATTTCCTTCACCACTTCGGCATCATTTTGGAAAACCAATGGCTTCTTTTGATTATCAACTTCTTTATCCACCACATGAACCTCGTACTCAACCGGATCGTCCTCTTTCGTCACCACATTTGGCACACTCCGATAATGGAGGTCAGCCGCAGCTCTTTCCTCACTCTTCTCTTCAACCGCAGCCCCCTTCTTGCCACCATCATCACCACCACTACCACTACCACCACCGGCACCACCACCAGCATCCACAAACTTCTGATTTCCGTGTACTTCCTTAACAACTTCCTGCTGATAAAAATCTTCATCTTCCAAATCAGGAATCCCTTCTTCATCCCTAACTTCTCTCGAATCCCGACTCGGAGTATATGGAGGATAATAGCTCTCGAAAGTGTCAAACGGATTCAAGAAATCCCAACTCGAGCTTGGGGGTGGAGGCGGCGGAGGCGGAGCTTTTGAATTCGAAGACGACGCCTCCGATGGTGAAACCGCCTGAGGCGCTGAAACACCGCCGTAAGGCGGAGGTTGTGAAGAACCGAAAAACTCACCGTAGTTCGAGTAAGAACCAGGGTTTTGATTGTTATAATTATTACTGTAATATGATGATGATGAAGCTTCACCGTACTGTATAGGTTCAGAACTCATCGGTCTCTGCTGGTACACAACCGATGGCGTCGGTTGTTTTCTCATAAAATTCATTGTGTAACCACCGGAAGAATAACCGGCGGGAGGAAATCCAGCTGGAGGATAACCGGCGGGAGGATAACCGGCGGGAGGATAACCGGCGGGAGGATACCCAGCCGGAGGATAAGAATAAGGAGGAAGATAAGAACCACCTAGGGATTCGTGCTGTTCGTTATAACTCAAATTACCGTACCGTTGATGATGCAGAGGCGATGAGCCACCGTTCTCGGAGTGCAGATGAAGGATATCGTCTTCGTCGCCGGAATCATCATCGGAATCGGTATGGAAATGAAGGTGAGAAGAGCCGGAATTCGAATGCGAATGACGGTGCTCAACCGCCGGAGCAGAAGTAACAGACGGAGGTGGAGGCCCAGAAGAATCTCCCTTTCGTTGAGACGGAAGGTTAAGCACCGGAGACGCATGACCGTCGCCGGCGCCGGCGCCCGCAGCGGCGGAGTGCAGATCAAAGAAACGATGGAGCGAATCGCCGACCGATTTGAGGGAATGTAAGTAGGCTAAATGGGCTTGAGCAAGAGCGTAACGTTGGTGAATTGCTTCATCAAGAAACTGACATCTTTTCCGGCACAAAGCGACGGCCGGCGAATCATCAGGCTTCGAACCCACACAACCCATATAAAAAAAATGGGATTTTTTAACGAATTGGAATTAAAAAAATAATTACAGAAGGGAAGCAAGATCAGGAAGGAAATCAAGAACAACCTAGCGGAATGAATTTAGGGATTTGAAGAGAGAGAAAGAATCTTTGACAGCAGGTAGTACGTCGTCGGCTTGTAGGTTGAGAGAGAGAGAGAGAGAGGGGTGCAGAAAGGGGTGGGCATCGTTGGTGTAAAATGTGCATAGTGTGTGTGAGAGAGAGAGAAAGTGAGTCTCCTGTTTGAGAGAGAGAGAGAGAGGGGCATATAGCAGCAGGGGCCATGCCTTTTTCGAGAGGAACTTACAGTTATCTCCCTTTTACTATGCTAAACGTATCTATTCAGTCCCTTAACTATTTCCTAAAAAGTAAGAAAAGATCTCAACCCTTAATCATTGATCTGATGCATCTATTTTTAATGTGAATTCAATGATGAAAATATTTTCTTACATTTCTCATCTTAACTTTCTTTTTCACCGGAACCAAACCGTAATAATTAATATGCATATATTTATTAACTTATATTATACATAAAACCCATAAAATGAGTTTTTATAAGAGCATCTCCAATGCGAGGTTTTTATAAAACAAATAATGCAGTTTCTTAAAAGAACCACCATTGGAGAGAGCTCTTATAAGAACTTCGCATCCTTTGAGTTCTTATTCAAGAACCTTGGTTCTTACATTAAACTTGGTGTGAAATGATTTTTTTGTTAGTTTTTTTCTTATATTTATTGACTTTATATTATTATTAATGTTGAAAAAAATACATGGAACCTACAAAATAAGGTCTATAAGAACTACAATTTTGAAGTTTATGTAAGTTCTTAATTTGGTGAGACTGAAATGATGTGGCAAGCAAAAGTTGGTTCTTATAAAGACCTCCATTGGAAAAAAACCTCAATTAAAGATGCTCTAAATCATTATTCTACGTATTTTATCCTTAAAACTTTTTTAATGGTCGTATAAATAATTGTTTTGAATAGGCCAACCAAATAAAACGTATTAATGGTACAAGTAGAGTATCATGTAGGTTGAAACAAGTAATTTATCATCAAGTCTTGAAAGTAACTCATTCAATTATCTTCTTTTATTAGAAGGCATTATGGTGCATATGATGGTATCCCTTTTTGGACCAATTAGTGTTATATCATATGATGCAAGCTATACAGATTTTACAAAAAGAACGTCATCGATTTCTATCATTACCATTTGATGTGTATTACAACACTACCCGACTTAAAAATATCAACTAGGTCCAAGTAATCATAGTGTCACATGGTCAAGCTTCATAACCGAGAACGAATGTATTACGTATATGCATATGCATGTGCATGCGTTTGTCATCAATCAAGAAAAAAAAAGGAAAGGATGTGCTATACTTTAAAGTAATTTTCAAGAGTTGGCTGGGAAAATGGTACTTTGGATCTATTTTGATAAGATTTTTAGTGAATGTAAACTTTAAGTTTCAGAAGAACATTATACGTGCTATAAAATATATATCTTTCGTATGTTAGAACTGTGTTATGCATATCGTGGCTGCTAAAAAACTGTGCAATTAACTGTTGATGTTGCGGGTTTTTCGTTTGTGGTTTTGTCAAAGCTTAATCCACAAAATAATGAGAGCAGATGGTGGGTGTCCTTTCCATTTGTCTTCACTACTAGAGTTAGTTAGTTATAAGTAAGAAGTAATTGTATAAGATTTCTCGAAAGAAGATAATGCTCATAATGTGTTTGTAGGCGTTCCTTTTCGTTTGTAGGTTTTGCATGGTCATGGAAAACGAAAGTACATGATAGGTGGGTGTGCTTAATGTCCTAGAATTTTAATGCGAAAGGAATCACATTGAATGCTTAATAGACAACATTAACAAGCCTATTGTACGATATTACTATATAATGATTAAAGTGATCATGTGGTTGCGTATCATGACATCAACACTTTCCACTGTAGAAAAATTGGCGTGTCAATAGATTTTTGTGTGAAAGTCTAACTTCGAATCATAAAAGAAAAGAATGGATAAAATAGATATTAGTTATAAGTTTTAGGGGTTGTTTGGCAGTTGCTGAATGATTTGGTGCATAATGATTAAGTGGTTGGAATAATTAAAAGACTTTCATGATATAGTGCAAACGAAATATAATTGTTTGGTAATTGTTTACAATGAAATCAGCGCGCTTAATGGTTAAGGGAGACTTAGGATACAAAATCATTCAGAGGGTTTTAGAACCATTAAAAGACAGACTTTTTTTTGTCAAACAAGATTCATCTCTTAATGATTCAAATATTGTTTATTAATGAAACTATTAAAAGATAAACAAACAACCTCTTAGGCTAATTTGGGCTGTTGGTAACAACAAAGCCATCAACAAATCACTCTCATTTAATTATATGGAGTAGAGTACAATAATAATTGGTTGAAAATTAATGGATTTATGTAAGTTCAAAGGGGGTAAAAGTATAAAAGAGAAAAGTATAGGGGTGGAAAATGAAAAGATTTGTTTGGTTAGGTTTTGTGGAACTGTTGATGTGGTGAAGATTTGTTGAGTGTTCAGTCTGCTTCTTGACATGGAACCCAACCCAAATTCCTGTCATAAACCCACTTCAATTGTACTACTTAGGGGTAAATTTGTCAAATCACACACCCTTATTTCTTTGAAGACTTGTACTTTTGAGTGCATTCAAAAATTAAAACTTCTTTCAAATAATTCCCATGATAATTTACAGTTCCTCATTCATTATTATGGAAACATATATTATTTTTTATTAATCTGAATATTCAACCCGTTATACGAGCCGAATGATTTCAGGATGACCACCCGCTTTATATATAGCCCGGAGACACTACATTTGAATCTTCTTGATCACAAAGGGGATCTTTATTTCTCCTTATATTAAAACATGGGACCTCCATGCACTTTTAACCTTTGGAGCCCAAGTTCAAATCAATCGGGCACCACCTTTGTGAGTTATATTATTAGTGTTACCAGTAAAAATAATGGTAATGATAATATATTGTTATTAAAAATATTTATGATAAGAATGACTTGAAACAAATTTTAGTTTCTCAATATGAAATAAAATTAATGAAGATAGATACTAATATGCTTAAATACAAATACTCAATATACAAGATTTTGTGTTTGATTCTTCGTTCTTTCTTGATGATTTGCAGAATGAAATGTATTATAGAACTCAATAACTGTGTAGAAAAATATGATGTAGACAATTCACGTGATCGGATTTTAAAGAAGCTTGCACGTCTTTGTTGTGAAAAAAAGTAAAAAAGACATGCATGTGTAAGAAATACGGTAAGCAAAATGATCGAGAATTTTGGCTTCTTTTGGGATCTAAAATAATTAATATATATTTATTTAGGGGGAAACAATATTATTTTTGGTGTGGCAAATTTTTATTAGAATATGATTAAATAAAATATTTAAACGGAGATGATGTTTGGATTAGATTGAATTTATTTGTATTTTCTGGTAAGTTGCTTACGTTTTTGTTTAAAAAATAAAATGTTGAATTCAAAGATTGAAGATTATTGTGGTCATTTATATTACTAATTAATAAATTGTTTCTAATTTATTTAACATTTTACTTTATTTCGTATTTTTATTCTAAACAATTATTTCTTAAGAAATAAATTCTAAAATATTAAAAAAAAATTATTAACCTGGATATCCAACCCGTTATGCGAGCCGACTAATCTCAGTACGACCACTTGTTTTGCAGATAGCCCAGAGTCAACCCATTGTGGTCATTTATATTACTAATTAATAAATTGTTTCTAATTTATTTAACATTTTACTTTATTTCGTATTTTTATTCTAAACAGTTATTTCTTAAGAAATAAATTCTAAAATATTAATTTTTTTTTGATTAACCTGGATATTCAACCCGTTAAACGAGTCGACTAATCCCAGGACGACCACCTGCTTTGCAGATAACCCGGAGTCATCACATTTGAACCTCTGTGGCCACAAGAGGATTTTTATTCCTCCTTGGATTTGAACCTGTGACCTCGTGATACTTTTGACCTTTGAAGTCAAGCTCAAACCAATCAGACACCACCCTTGTGGTTAAAATATTGTCACTCCATGATGTATTAAAAGTTAGTGAATACGGATTTAGTCCCTGTGGTTCAATGAAAATTATGACTAGCGTCACTTAAACTTGAAAATCATGGATTTGGTCTATGTGGTCGTCATTTTTGCATAACTATGGCCCCTCTTCCAAACTTTGTTAACAGTGAATCCGTTAACTCAAGAGTAATTGAGTCTTTTACCCTTTTCTCTTAGATTTTATTAGAATAAGAAAAACATATTTATTATTATTTTATTTTATTCATTGATTCCCTTCTCTACTAAACACAAATGCACACTTCACCTTCTAAATCAAAAAAACCCTTTAATGGGGAGGCTGGAACTCGAGGCTGATGGTAGGGTGTTCATCCAAATTGTTAAACCGCATAAATCGTCCACCTTGTACCGTAAAGCACGGTTTAGAATTTTTGCGGTGTGGTTTGCGATTTTGGGTTATCAAATCATGATTCAAACCATAGCGTGCACACACACAAACATATATATATATATATATATATATAATGTTTTAATTTATATTATATATATATATATATTATAATAATTAGGCCAGTTTTATGTAATATTTTTAGTTTTCTTAAACTATTTTTTAATTACGTAATATATATTTAGGAATCGGATACATTTAAATTTCCAAACAAAATTTGGACTATGATCACGTTATCATTAATTTTATAATAAAATTTTAATCTTATAATTATTGGATTGTGGGTGTAAAGTGCGTTAAGAACAAACTGTATAAACAACACCACAATGCGGTGCGATTTTTTGGGTTTGAGAAATATGCGATGTGGTTCCCAATTTGGAAAAATGCTCAAACCATATATGCAATGCGTTTTGTGATTTGGTCTCAAACCGCACCTTAAACACCCCTAGCTGGCTGTAGAAAGGGTCAAGTGTCTAGAACCAGAGGGGGGCGGCGGTGTAAGGAGGCTGACGATTGGAACCGTGTGAGAAGGCTGGCAGTGGGAAGGGTCCAACGGTATGAGGTGTCAAAGGTTTTTTGTGTGGGTATACATATATATATATATATATGTGTGTG